TAGCCTGGTAATTATGGACTCTATGCAAAGCACTTTAAACAAATCACCCTCCCCACAAACAGCCTTACCTAGAAATAGCTCAGGGCCATGGGAGGGAGGGAGAGAAGGAGGGATGGAGGGTGGGAGAGAATAGGTGAAAACCATTGCTGGGATTTTATACTCACAGCTCATAGGGTGGAAAAAAACCTCTGTAGTTATAATCAGACTCTTCTTCCACCATGTAGGGGAGGAGCAAAAGGAAGGAAGAAAATCTGGAGAAAAAGCTGCTTCCCTCTGGCCTCCAAATTTCTCATCTAGCAGCTGAAAGAGAAAGAGACTAAAATGAAAAGAAGTTAGAAAAAAAAGCGGCGGGGGCGCGGTGGCTCACGCCTGTAATTTTAGCACTCTGGGAGGCCCAGACAGGAGGATCGCTCAAGGTCAGGAGTTCGAAACCAGCCTGAGCAAGAGCAAGACTCTGTCTCTACTAAAAATAGAAAGAAATTAATTGGCCAACTAATATATATAGAAAAAAATGAGCCGGGCATGGTGGCGCATGCCTGTAGTCCCAGCTACTCGGGAGGCTGAGGCAGGAGGATCACTTGAGCCCAAGAGATTGAGGTTGCTGTGAGCGGGGCTGACGCCACGGCACTAACTCTAGCCTGGACATCAAAGTGAAACTCTGTGAGGCTGACGCCATAGCACTAACTCTAGCCTGGGCATCAAAGTGAAACTCTGTCTCACACACAAAAAAAAGTGAAAGCAGCTGGGGCCCCAGAGGTCCTGAAGTACTGTGGAACTCCAGGCCTTGGCCCTGCGTGCTGAAAAGGCTCGGGGTGGGGACACAAGCTGGCAGAGCCGGAAAGCTGAAAGCAGGGCCGGCTCATCCCGGGGAGACAGGACTGAGAACCTCCAGCCATCCTTCTAACCCGGTTAAATGTTCCACGTTTATTCCACTTACCCTGCGTAAAGGCACTGCCTTTGATGTTTTTGTTAAAATACTCAAACAAGTAGCTGAATTTACAGGGGGTTGTCTAACCTAAAGAGAGGAATTGAGGCAAAATTTAAATAAAGACTTTAGGGCCCGGAGCTCATACCTGTAGTCCCAGCGCTCGGGAGGCTGAGGCAGGAGGATCACGTGAGCCCAGGCGATCGAGGATGCAGTGAGCTGTGATCGCACCACTGCACTCCAGCCTTGGAAATGGAGCAAGACCTTGTCTCAAAAAAAAAAAGTTTATTTGGGCCAAAGTTGAGGACTGAGGACAGCTGCCTGGGACACACTTCCAAATTGCCTTCAGGAGTGCTTGGTGCAGCCTTTGTTGCAAGCAGGTTTTTAAAGGCAAAAGGAGATAAGGAGCGGGATGACCCAAAGTTGTTCCGCAGGAATTCTCGCTGGTGCCCAGAAATAGCATTGCTTGGTGACGGGCTGCACACTGCTCACCTGTGGGGCGTGAGCTGTGGTGTCCAGCACAGGGCAGTTATGGCTACCTGGTGCCAGTCTAGAGCCACGTAGCAAGTGGCTTCAAGAGGTAATTAATTATGGGCCGGGCGCGGTGGCTCACGCCTGTAATCCTAGCACTCTGGGAGGCCTAGGCGGGCGGATTGCTCAAGGTCAGGAGTTTGAAACCAGCCTGAGCAAGAGTGAGACCCCATCTCTACTATAAATACAAAGAAATTAATTGGCCAACTAATATATATAGAAAAAATTAGCCGGGCATGGTGGCAAATGCCTGTAGTCCCAGCCAGTTGGGAGGCTGAGGCAGCAGGATTGCTTGAGCCCAGGAGTTTGAGGTTGCTGTGAGCTAGGCTGATGCCACGGCACTCACTCTAGCCTGGGCAACAAAAGGAGACTCTGTCTCAAGAAAAAGAGGTAATTATGTAGCTCAAGGCGGGTAGTGGATGTGACTGCTGTCACACGCTGTCACACTGCAATGCCTTTCTGGGCCTGATAACTAAAAGGGGCCCCCCCCCTCAGGTACAGTTTCTGGCCTTCCCCAGGGTGGAGAAGGTTCCTGACATCGATGCCTGTATTTCCAGCGCTACATGCGCACCTCGTGCCCTGCTCTCAACTGTGCAAACCACACGGTCCGTCCGTTCTTGCCACTGCCCCAGAGTTTAACATGAAATAATTCTCTCCCCCATTCTCAGAAGCTGCCTTTGTCTGTTTTCTGTGGCTTCCCCAGCAAAGTAGCACAAAACCAGGTGGCTTCAGCAACAGAAATTGGTGGTCTCCCGGTTCTGGAGGCTGGAGGTGCAAGATAAGATCAGCGTGGTGGCAGGGTTGGTCCCTTCCGACGCTGGGACAGACCCTGTCCCATGCCTCGCCCCGCTGCTGGTGGCTTGCTTGGGAATCTTGGGCGTCCCTTGGCATGTAGAGGCGCCACTCCGCTCCCTGCCTTCATCTTTGGGGGCGTTCTCTTTGCACTGACCTCTGAATCTCTCCTTTTATACAGACATCAGTCATATTGGATTAGGAGCCCACCCGACTCCGTGTGACCTCATGTCACCTAAGTATTAACATATCTGCAGTGACCTTATTGCCAGATAGGGTCACATCCAATGTCTGAGTTTGGAGGGGACATAGTTCGGCTTATAACACCATCCTTCTGGATCTCAGTCTTTCGCCAGTTCCGCCGTCCCAGCTCCAGCCACTGCTGTTAAGTCCACGCAGCGGGTGTTTTATATGGGCTATAACCTTTACCGGGGGATTTGAGCTCATGAGCTATTCATAGCCAGCCCCGTGCTCTTGCCCTTGGCATTGGTCGCTCTGCTCAGCCGGTGTGGCTGCCTTTGTCATTGCCAGTGGCCTCAGCTGGGGGGCGGGGGCGGCAGCACGGGCAGGGTCAACACTGTCTCCTTGTGCCTCCCTGCACAGCGAACATTTGTGGACTGGATGAAAACAAATGTGCAAATAAACAGCAGCAGCAACAATAAACTTTGAGACAAAATTTCCACGGTTCGGCACCCCAAGCAGGGCATTTGTACGATTGAGCAACGTCTTCTCTCTGGCTTTGTGTGTCGGCCAGCTTAGCTCATGTCTGCATGCAGTTCTCACCGCGCTGCAAAATCAGAATGGAGCTCTCCCTCCCTGCCTTCCCGGGTCAAGTCAGGCCTCCTCTAATCCACTTTTCATCTCCGTGGGGCTTCTGACCCGGACAGCAGGGACATCATCGCAGCTGCCTCCTTCCTTCCATGTCCCCTGCCGTAGCTAGGCCCGTCTTTCCAGGTCTCCCTCTCTCTGCCACGGGACGCTTTCTCTCCTGGATCCCTTTCCTTGCTTCTTCATTGGCTCCGATAGCCCTGCCACCTCCGCACCCGGCACGTTTGCTCACCTGGCACCTGGGCTTTGGGTTGTTCACCTCTGCCCCTCCCGGGAGGACTGGGGGCTTTCCTCCTGCACTTGCCACCCCCCACCCCTCACCCCACCTTGCTCTCTGGAAATGAGCCATCCCAGCTCCTACCCCTGGAAATCACTCCCGTGCACCTCCACCCCCACTGCGATTCCTGTATGTGCTTTTCTCGGTACTCTAGATATCATCCTCAAGGCCTCACCTCATCCAGAATTCCTGTAATTCAAGACACTTCCTGACAAAGGATGGCGGGTTATTTCTTTTTACCAGTTGAAACAGTGATAAGTTGTCCCCAAACTTTGAAATGTTGGGAGGATCCTCATTATTCCTCATAAAGCTGCAGTCCCCACATGCTGGGCTGCAGCCCGGTACCAGTCCGCAGGCTGTTAGGAACCCGGCCAGGCATCACCGCCTGAGTGGGCTCCACCTGCCCCCTCGCCACCACCCCCACCATCTGTGGAAAAATTGTCCCCCGTGAAACTTAGGAACTGGGCTGCACAGCCGGAGGTGAGTGGGGGGAAAGAGTGAAGCTTCATCTGCATTTACAGCCGCTCCCCATGACTCCTGTCACCGCCTCAGCTCCACCTTCCCCCCAACCTGGGTCCATGGAAAAATTGTCTTCCATGAAACCGGTCCCTGGTGCCAAAAAGGTTGGGGACCGCTGACTTAAAGTGAGACTCCTTCTGTACTCTGGCTACATTCTGATTTCAGAGCAGCTTCTGTAGCTAAGTACATTGATACCCATAGTTAGAATGAAAGCAGCAGGAACACCTACTGTTAGAGCACTTGTCAAACACTATCGAAAACACTAAAATTATTATTTTCATACATAATCTAAACCTATATCAATGAGGTAGAAAACGGCTCAATATTTCATTTAACTTTTGCTAGTAACACCTGTCAGGATGCCCAGCTGTGCATCAGGAAGCCCTTTCTCTGTCTTCCCTTATACCTGTTGGGCACGGATGCACTCATTCAGCTGCTATGGCCTGAGTACCTGCCATACTCCAGACACACACTGGTAACAAATCCTGCTGTTGGAAGGACTTCGAAAGCACCTCCTACATGTCATTTTCCACCGTGCAGGACCATACCCAATGTTGCTACTCTCCTCCCCGAAAATAAAATAAAGGGACTGACAAGTGTGGAAAAGTAAGCTTCAAAATATTTATTGAAAAGGCATGTTAACATCTAGAAATTTTCTCTTAGTAAATAATTAAGAATATGTGTAAACATGTAGCTTCAAGCCTATCCAAGCATTTTTTTATATATCAAAATGATGGAAATGATTTAAATGTGCACCAAGAGGAGATTGAGTCAGTTGATACTAAATAAACCTACAAAAAGGGATTCAATGCATTAAAATGTAGAGGCATCTCATGGAAAGATGTTCATGGTTTATAAAAGAGTATATATAACACGATCTCATTTTTATGTTAAAATACACACCATAAAAGAACTTGGCGATTAGAACCCAGAGTGTTAGCCAGGACCTCCTCTGGGTAGAGGGATGAGATTGGAGATGATTTTCTTCTATTTGCTTATCTAAATTTTCTAATTTTTCTATAGCAAATAAGTGTTACATTTTAAATTGTTTTTAAGCTTTTGAAATAAAAAGCATATAAAGATACATTTTTCTAAATATTTCCATGTATGCTTTTTGACCCTTTGCAGCTTACAGTGACTTAGGCTACTACATCATCAACAAACTGCACCATGTGGACGAGTCAGTGGGCAACAAGACGAGAAGGGCCTTCCTGTATCTTGCTGCCTTCCCTTTCATGGATGCGATGGTAAGTAGAAAAGATTGTTGCCTTCTTTTTTAAAAAAAACAGGGGCAAAGTATACATAACACAAAACTGACCATTTTTATGTTTACCGTTCAGTATCATGAAGTACATTCACATTGTTGTGTAATCAAGCTTCAGAACTCATTTCATCTTGCAAAACTGAGACCCTGTACTCTTTAAACAGTAACTCTCCTACCTGCCTCTCCACACCTCCTGGCAACCCCCCATCTGCTTTCTGACTCTGTGAATTTGACTGCCTCGTATAAGTGGAATCATGCAGTATTTGTCCTTTCATGACTGGCATGTTTCACTTAGCATAATGTCCTCAGGGTTCATCCATGTTGTAGCATGTGCCAGAATTTCCTTCCTTTTTAAGGCTAAATAATTTTCCAGTGCATGGATATACCACATTTTGCTTATTTATTCCTCTGTTGATGGACACTTATATTGCTTCCACCTTTGGACTATTGTGAATAATGCTGCTACGAACATGGCTGCACAAATATCTCCCTGCTTTCAGTTCTTTTGGGTATATACCTGGAGGTAGAATTGCTGGATCGTAGGGTAATTTTTAATTTTTTGAGAAATTAGCATACTGATTTTCATAGCAGCTAGACTAAACTAAAGCATCAGTGCCCAAAGGTTCCGGTTGGCCACTGACTTTTTTTTTTTTTAATTTAATTTCAGAATATTATGGGGGTACAAATGTTTAGGTTTATGTGTGGACTGTTGACTTTTAACCAGTCCATCTTATCAATTTGTTTTATGACAATTGTGCTATATTTGCTAGAAGTTCTGGTGGGTGGCAAGAGCGCCCACATGAAAAATTTGACTCAAACATAAAGTTCTTTTCTGGTGGACTCTGGATCAGAGTCAGAATAGCTTTCTGATAAACTTACCACTGTTGTATAAACACCCAGAGTTGTAGAGTAAGAATCTCTTGTGCACCCTGACAAGGTTTTATTACTTTACTAACCAGCATTACTGCATTAGCTAAGGGCTTCTCACTTCCATACATTCTTTGTCATGATACTGAAGAGTTTAGACAATGCTTTTTTTTTTTCCCCCCAACTGTGTTATAGATATATAAAAGAGAGGTAGCAAAAAACCAAAAATTCCAATAATGTCCAAGGCTGGAAAGTAAACCCTTTCTTGGGCTCCATTTTGAGTTACCCTTGGGAGGTAATGAGAGTGTGTTAGTCTGTGGGTTTTTTACCTCCCTCACCTCGGGTTTTACGTACATTAGACGTGTGAGGTACGTGGATGTCTGCATTGAGGTGAGGCAGCAGCCCCAAACCCTGGCAGGAATGAGGGAAGGTAAAAATATGTGAGGTTCATCATCTCCAGTGTTATCTGAAGTCTCAGTTTGCCTGTAGATTATTGGCATGTTGTCATCGAATCCCTGATAGCCTTCCATTGGTTTGCGTGGTAGGCTTCAATACTAAACTCTGAGCTGTGAGTGAATGTTCTGGTTAATTGCTGTGGCATCACTGCAGGTGGGAGGATTGGGCCATCTGAACACTGGGACCTGGATTTTCTTTTTGTTACCTGTTGCTGCATGCATGCACTCAGGAGTGACACAGTTGACTCAGGAAGAAGAAGGAGGAGACAAAGGGGCTGTAGTCCCCAGCACCGGCTTCCCCCCAGCGAGAACTCGGCTGTGGGGGGAGCATACTGCTTTTCCATCAGCTGGAGAACTGCACAGTGTGATCTTTCTCACATCCCGAAAGAGCTGAGGCCTGACTTCCTGGGCAGAGTCCACGATATTGCTCTAATATCTGTCCTCCATCTGTGTTCATAGTGGAAATTTAAACACCTAGAAGAATTACAATGTACAGAGAATTCCAGGAACTTGGGACTGTTAATAACAGTGAATCGCAGACTCTTAACTACCCAGTAGTCCACTTCCCTTTGGCTGTATTCATTTGCCACGAGAGAGTTTCTACAACTCAGTGTAACACCAGAACATTTGTGATTGGTTCCCTTCTCTTCCATGTTTCTTCCATAAATTCCCCCAAAGACCCTAATAAAACAGTCAGAGACTGCTAATAAAAACCCAAATGCCGGACATTTATAAAGAGCAGGTCGCCTCCTCCCCGCACCCACACGCACACCACCTCCTCCCCCTGCAGCAGGGCCCTGATGTGTCGGTGGGAGAGAGAATATTTGAAAGCTGTGAAGTTTGTGGTGCAGATGGCTCTCAGACAGCAAAGAGCCTGCAGGTTGCTGTTTGCAAATGTTGTCTACAGTTTGCAGTTCTTCTAACATTTGGCCCCTGGGGACCTAGGAGCTGGGGAGGGAAGTAGCCGCTGCTGCACAGAGTCTGGACACAGAGCCAGGGAGTGGATTCTACTGGTCTGATTGTGTGCAGCTTGGGTGGGGTGTTATTTCTGTCAGTCCAAATCGGCCTTAAGGAGGATGATCGTTAATCAGATCCTACCATGAACTTTAAATCTTCCCCAGACCTGCTGTCCCGGGGCGGGATGGGGTGCGGTCTTCATTGCCTGCTCCTCTTCTAGGACCTTCCTCTTAATTTCCCTCAAAGACACAAAGTGTCAGATCAGATCCAGCCCAAAGTCAAAGACAAGAAAGCAGTAGAAGCTTCATTAGTCAGTGGGAACGTGTGATGACTGTATTAATAATAACTCAGAACCAAATTAGAGCCCTCATAATAACATGCTTCATGTGAGGAGGATGCAGCTGCTTTGCGATTAAGACGGCTCCCAGAGAGGAGTCATGTTTTCTCCATTCATGGTACTCATTCAGCTTCCTGCTAGGTGTGCTAGCCCGCATATGACTGGTACTAAATAAATATGTGCAGTCTCATTCCACTTACAAATCTAATGCGGAAAAACTAGCCACTAGACCAAATTACAATAATTATACCAACCAAAGACTTATCAAACCTCTACTGTGCTAAGGTTTTTTTGGGGGGGTGGGCGGTGGTATAAAGTGTAATTCAGGAATGCCTAGTATAGCACGACAACCAGAAACAGTGTCATCCTGAAAGTATATCTCATGCCAAATTCTTTTCTTTCTGGCAGGCATGGACCCATGCTGGCATTCTCTTAAAACACAAGTACAGTTTCCTGGTGGGATGTGCCTCAATCTCGGATGTCATAGCTCAGGTAAATACGGTCTGTGCGTCAATCAGACCTACCTAGAGCCCCCTTCTGGTGTGTGTGACTGATGCATGTTTTGTGTTCATTCACTGGGCAGTGCGCTCTGCATTCACCTGGTTTCGGCAGCGCTATTACATCGGTGTAGACGCCAATACGTGTTTGTTAAATGAATGAGTGAAGGAGACTCCTTGGAATAAAAAATATGCCTATTCTCGCTAGAATAAGAGATGTATGAATTTAAAGTCAGCATTGAGGTTTTGACCTTTATTTTTAAAGAGTGTGCATGTGAGATGACTATAAAGTCATACCCAGTCCATTTTTGGGTGGTCACAGGGTCGCCGTGCCCTTGGCTGGGTGACCTCTGCGTGGCCTGGCAGTATGCAGTCTGTCACTCTGTTCTAGAGCGATCACTCTTGGGAATTACTCCTAAAACCTTGTTTCTTATGTTGTGGCCATCCAGAGCCACTATTCATGAGTCATTTCTCCCCATTCAAAAAGACCCAGGAAGTTGGTTTGGTTGCCTTCCCATGCAGTTTGAGAAGACGACCTGCACCCACTCTCTGTTGTGTCCAGTTCTCCGAGGGCTGGTGTGCAGCCCCAGTCTATGTCCGTCCATCCTTCTCCCAATCAAGGAGACCACATTGAAAATTTTAGTGGAAAATTAGATTTAATTGCTAAAATTTATAAGTGAAACTAAGTTCCTACAATCAGGGACTTGGGAGAATGATTTTGTCACAGAAGAGGAGGTTAGACTATGATCTTTAAGCCTCCTTCCAAATTCTCAGTTTTGTTCTATAAACACTGCCATGCATTTTACGCCCATTGTGCACCTTAATCTTTTAGCCACCATGTTGGAATAATCTACTGCTGAACTGTTAGTATCTCCCGAAAGACCAAGAATTAAATCTCCAAATTAATCACATTCACACCATGGATCACTATTAAAAGTAATTTAAAGTAATTTCTGCTAACACTGTACATGTGTGTGCCTGAGTACTAGCTAACCAAATTCTTTGATATATTTTCGTTAATTTTCTTGCAGAGTTATTAGAGAACTTTGTCCCAGTCTTACTTTCAGCATCCTCTGAGAGAAGAACTTAAACTGCCTTATTCATCTTAATCACTTAATTTTAAATTAAGGAAGTACCTTTGATTTCAAACGTTGGCATCAGCAATTCAATGAGCATTTGTGAGCATACATTTTAGATGTGTGTGTTTTTTTTTTTTAAATGCAAGAAAAAACACAGAAAGAAAACCCTTCACTTTGCCTAAAATAAAGATAGTAGGCATCCAAGGACAGAGGGGAAAAATGCACTTATCTGGAAATACTTTGCCAATACACCTACAGACATTTTCCTTCTCAATTTGAAGCCTGATCCTGGTCGTTGCCTGTGGAGGGAGGGCTGGCAGGTTCAGAATAAACAATCTGGTTAGTAGGAGCATAGATGCCCATTTCAGGTGCCATCTGGCCTCAGGCTGTTCCTGGCAGAACAGTTATTTTAAACCTCATTGTTTGAGTTCCTACCACAACTTGTTTGGAGGAATTAAGTTCTCTTTTTGTTCTTAAGTCTTTTACTCCCGAGTTTCCTCTCATTACCTGAAAGCATTTGTTGGTTACCTAATTATGTAGTAAGTAAATAGATCCTACGCAAAGTACCCAGAAATGCCACCTTGGCATAGATAACAAGTAATCAACAATGATAAATGGAAATCATTTATAATGCTTTGAATTTCACTGACAGCTCTCTCTTTTTTAAAAATTGTACTAAGCTAATTGAGTTCATACGTTTCATATAACAGGACGAAAAAGCTCTTCGTTTTGTTCAAACATGCAGACTGTTCTGTGCCACCGTTATTATAGTAGTTATATGTTCTGGTCTTTCATATTGGCAAGGGTTTCGGGAAAAAGTTCTGCTGTTTTTGTCTTATTTCATGGCCATCTAGACTGTCTTCATCTGCTCAATATCCAAGTGAGAATTCTCTCGAGGTTGGTTACCTTCCCTGGGTTCTCCCATCCTCTGACCTCTCTGCTGTCATTTGCCTTTTGAGGTCAGCTGACATCCCAAGGATGATGAGATCCTAATCTGTACATTCTCCATCTCCTGCCTTTTCATCTCAGCCTCTCGACAAAATCATGCGCCCTCCTCCGCCTGCACCCAGGAGAAAATGCTTCTGCAAAAAGTTACACAGTGGGACATACTGACCAAGCTACAAATGCACAATCTTATCCCGTGCCTCAGGGCGTCTCTCCCACCTCACACAGTAAACTGAAGCAACCATATTCTTCAACTTCCAGCCACCAAACCTTCAAACCCAACCAGGTCATCTCCGTTTTCCCTTCATCCCAGGAGAGCGGAAGTTCCTCCTGCGGCCCACTTCCAGCCCCGCCTTCTCAGGAACCCACTGACCAGTTAGCAATGGTTCCTTCTCTCTCCCCTGATTTCCCTTGGCATGTCAACAAGCTCAGATATGTGCCCTCTTAACACACCACCACCAGGCTTTCTCTGGATCCCACGAACCTCCTTCCCTACCATTGTCCCTCCCCCTCTTCATTGCATCACAACCAAACTGTCCGGAAGGGTGGTTTCTGCTCACTGTCTCCGTCTTTTCACTTCCCTTTTACTCTGTTCCCTACTCGAGGCTGACTTCCACCCAGATGGTTCTGACTAATGACCTTCACGCCAGTAACCCCAGTGAGCAATTTTAGCTACCTTCAGTCTGTGGACTCCTCCCCGCCGGCCCTCACCCCACTGCAGTCCTGGTTTTTCTCCTGGCGGGAGGCATCGTTCTCCTCTGTCGACTTGAACACGCTGAAGTTCCCCAAAGCCCTCCCCTCTCCTCGCTGCGTGTTCAGTTTGTGAAGGCTCTAACTCCCCTCGGTTTATCCCATCTGTGACACGATTCGTGGTCGCCACATAGATACCTGTAGCCCAGCCCTCTCCTGTGGCCCCAGACAGGGCTCCCCAGACGTCCCCGTGACATTTGCACTAGATCCTTCAAAGGCACCCGAAGCCTGACCGAATGACCCTCCGTGTCAGGCATTTCATTTTTGAGCTCGCCAGTGGCTCTACCACCCGGTCAGAAAGCCAGGAGCCAACAGAGAAGAGTCTCTCCCTTTATCCCCAAGCCTTTCAGATTTTAACTGTAGGTATCTCTGCAGTCTGCCCACTCTGCCCAGCCCTCCTGCCCACCCTGGGCCGAAGGGTCGTCCCCTCCCACCTGCACTGCCAGGGAAGCCGCCTCGCTGGCCCTGCCCCTCTGCCCTGCCAACCCCCAGCCCCACCGTAGTCAGGTGATCTTTTCCCAGTGAAATTCTGGCCACCTCCCCGCTGCTTAAACCTGCTTTAAAAATAACTTTCTGGTGTTCTTAATAAAAGGCTAAAATCCTGATCATGATTCCCAGGCGCTAAAGACCCAGGGGCCCCGCGCCTCTCCCGGGCACCGTCCTCTCACCCCCTGCTCTCTGCACCCCAGCCACAGGCCATCCTTTCAGGGCTCAGTGTGGCAGACCACCCCCATGGGGGTCTTTGCAGGCGCAGCCCCCTCTGCCCAGGAGGAAATGCCCCACCTCGGCTCTCCCGGCTGCTGCCCGCCCTGCGCAGGCTGTAGGTCTCCGCGGGGACGGCACAGCGCTCGGCAGAGCACTCCCCCTCGCGGCGTGCGCCCGTCCTCCCCACGGCTCTGCATGGCGTTTTGCAGTGCACGCTCACCAGCATCGTCCACCGATTAACATTCCCGCCTCTTCCGCTGGACCGTGAGCCCCTGCAGACCAGAGTCTGGGACTGTCTTGTTTCTCACTGAATCCCAGCACCTGGTCGGGGCCAGCACACACCTGCTCGCCACCGAGACAAGTCGGTCCCCTCCGGAAATAATCTGACCTGTATTCGATGGCTGTCTCCGACTCAGAATCTTCATTCTGGATTGAAATGCAAAAGGCGCAGGTGTTGTTAGTTTAAGTTGATAAACAGTACAGGCCCCCGCGGAGACGTCAGATCCGAGGTGGGTGCTGCGGCGCCTGGCGCGGGTCTGCGCGATGCCGGGGAGGCCGGCCCCGTCTTCGCTTGGGCCTTGCGGGCTCTCCTGGCCGGACCCATCCGCATCTCCTTGTCATCGCCACCCTCAGTCCTCTTGTGCCATGTCTCCCTTTCCCACTCGTCCAGATCCCGCTTTGGTCCTGCCGCTCGGGCTCCTGTCTTGCGGAGCCTTCCGGACTTGGCGGAGACCACGCCCAGTACTCACCTTCGAGTACCGCATTCATTTTCCACACAGCTAGTTTTCAGCCTCTAAACATCATCTCAGGTTACGTTGTAGGTTTTGTAGAAGTTAAAGGTGTCCCTCTGCATCCTGCCATTAGCACGTTATGGTTGGTCCACTCGGAAGCAGGACGCATGGAGAAAGTCATGCACATCCTCATTTCCGTCACTGAACCCCACTGCATCCTTGGCAAGTGTGAGCGTGAGAGTGAGCGTGAGTGTGAATGTGAGCGTGAGCGTGAGTGTCCCCCCAACTCGGGTGTGCTAAGGGGCGTTGCCTGTGCTCCTGGCAGCCAGGTTGTGTCCCAGCAGCACCTCTGTCCCCTGCACTCCCCTGGTGATTCAGTGACAGGGTGGGTCTCATTTGTAGGGGTTCAGAATGACAGCCGGGGCACGAGTGTCGGTCTGTGCTATAAGCAAACCACCTGTAGCACCTAATCCCTGTGTTTCATTCAGAAGCGTTTCTCTCCATTGCCGGCTCTCCTGGGTTCCCTGTGGAGTGGGATGTACCAATACAAAAAATCAGGCTCATTCTCCAGCTTGTCGCGTAATTCTCCATCATCACTGATTTCTTGATAATGTAGTGATTAGGACAGTCCTTTGTTCAGGATCACTGAGTGGCATTCTATTTGAATATGCCTATTTTCCCATGAGTATTTGGCTGTTAAGGTTGATGTAGCTGAGAAATATACCTCCCCTCACAAATCACCCTACTTTTGCACTGTGTTTGCTGCCGGGGTCTTCTGAATGAGTGGGTCCCAGGAGGACTGTGGACCACGGCAGGGGTGAGTCTCTGATTCACCAGGAGGTTAATACATTGTTAAATGTGCTTTTATTTTATTTTATTTTTTGAGAAAGAGTCTTGCTTTGTTGCCCAGGCTAGAGAGAGTGCCGTGGCGTCAGCCTAGCTCACACCAACCTCAAACTCCTGGGCTCAAGCAATCCTACTGCCTCAGTCTCCCGAGTAGCTGGGACTACAGGCATGTGCCACGATGCCCAGCTAATTTTTTCTATATATATTAGTTGGCCAATTAATTTGTTTCTATTTATAGTAGAGACAGGGGTCTCTTGCTCAGGCTGGTTTCAAACTCCTGACCTCAAGCAATCCGCCCACCTCAGCCTCCCAGAGTGCTAGGATTGCAGGCGTGGGCCACCGTGCTCAGCCGTTAAATGTGTTTTAGAGACGGTACCATTGAATAAAGATTGACACTCAATTATAATGTCAGTCTGTCCTGACCCTGGGTATTTCAACTGATTCCACTTTTATAAGTTTGTATTTTAAATTTTAATGTAGGTTATTTTATAATAATTACTGTTGGTGGCTTTTGCAGCAGTTTTAGTAACTCCCATCCTACAAATGTTAGTATCTGTTTTCCTGTATACAGTCGTTGATCACTACTGCTGTTTCCTTTATGGAAGGTGCTCAGGTTGCATATGCAGCTGAGTATCCGGCCTCAACAGGGCAAAGCTCGACTACATTTGGGGGCGGGAGGCCAAAGTTTTTAAATTTATTTTTAAGCAAAAACCTTAATCAGACGTGCAGTTGCCTTCAAAGAATCTGCGTGGTGGGTGTAATAAAACCATCAGTGTGTTCCTCCAGTGAGTCCCCAACAGCCACACCCGAATGGCATGGGAGCAACATCGAGTCATCGCCCGAGTTTCAGTCCCCTCTGCATCAAATTGCAGGTTTTCACTTGAAGACCTGTCTGCCCCGGGCTCAAGAGGGTGGGCCCGCGTGTCTGTTGGTTGGTGCCTTCGCCTCCCTCTGACCGGCCCCTGTCTCCCCGTCTCGCAGGTTGTTTTCGTAGCCATTTTGCTTCACAGTCACCTGGAGTGCCGGGAGCCGCTGCTCATCCCGATCCTGTCCCTGTACATGGGCGCCCTCGTGCGCTGCACCACCCTGTGCCTGGGCTACTACAAGAACATCCACGACATCATCCCCGACAGGAGTGGGCCGGAGCTGGGGGTACGTCTTCCACACCTTGAAAACAGCCGGATACTCAGAGTAGAGTAAACTCTTCCACATCCATGTAAAATGAGAAATCAAGGAAATCAGATAATCAAACTGGCCACGATGTCATACTCGCAAAGACCCAGTGCTAGGTAGCAGCCACTGGAGAAGGCAGTTGGAGAATGCACTCCAAGAGATGGGTGTGTGTGATCGCGGGGGTCACTGTCCAGCGTCCTCATCCCATAAGAGGAGACTGAGGCACCACAAGTCATGTCAGGCCAAGGAACAGATGCAACATACATGGTTTCTCTTACCCTCTATCGGAAGTTATTCCGTCATCAACAAAGATTTGACCATTTGCCTATGATACCTTTGCGTTCACATTTCATTATTCTTTTTTTTTTGAAACAGAGTCTCACTTTGTTGCCCAGGCTAGAGTGAGCGCCGTGGCATCAGCCTAGCTCACAGCAACCTCAAACTCCTGGGTTCAAACGATCCTGCTGCCTCAGCCTCCCGAGTAGCTGGGACTACAGGCATGCGCCACCATGCCCGGCTAACTTTTTCTATATATATTAGTTGGCCAATTAATTTCTTTCTATCTTTAGTAGAGACGGGGTCTTGCTCTTGCTCAGGCTGGTTTCGAACTCCTGACCTTGAGCGATCGACCCGCCCGCCTCAGCCTCCCAGAGTGCTGGGATTACAGGCGTGAGCCACCGCACCCGGCTGGCACATTTCATTATTCTTAATCTTACAGCAGGGATCGAGGCTTTGTGTTTGCTCTCTGCACTGGCCAATCACAACCTCCTATTCAGGCGCCTCCTGGGGACCCAGCAGAGCATTAGGTGCCACAGGGCAGCACAGAAAATGTTAAGGTATGTTCTCTACCCTGAAGCCGCTTCATGTCCCGTCTGGCGGATCAGACCCACTCAGACGCGACAGTCAGCACGAACCCAAGACAGCACAGTACGCATGTAAGAGCCACCACGGTTGAGACAGACACAGGAGTGTGGTCTGAGAAGCCTCCTTGGAGAGGGCAGAGCTTGGCCTGTGCCTTGGAAGTTGAATCAGAAACGGTAACACACGCAGTCTTACACCAGTGACCAAGGCCTTCTGTTTGTCCTGAGTATCAACAATGTCTGACTTCCATGAGTGCTAATTTTTCTTACCCACAGGTAGTAGACATCACTGGGTTTCTCTGCATCTAGCTATAAGGCAGATACAAATATGGCCCTGAAAAAAGAATCATCACACCTCCCCCAATTCCCACTTGGACCACACATTACTTTTGTCACCCCAAAACAGTAATTGTACTGACCGCTTACCTCTGTCCGAGCGAGGTCAGGCCATCAGTGAGATCCTGTGTAGTTGCTTCCATCACTCGGTCAAACACAAGTTGGTCGCGACAGCAGCACTCCATCTCTTAATGGTCAGCCGCCAGCAGAGGGGAATACAGTGAAGTGGCTGCGGTGGTTCCATGGTGTGACTCTCACCCTCGTGAAGAGTCAAAACCAAAACTGCAGAAGGAACACCAGGCTTTAAAGATACCACACACCGTTGCTGCAAAAGACTTAAAAACTCATTTGTTCTTTTCTATTTATTTATTTGAGACAGAGTCTCACTTTGTTGCCCAGGCTAGAGTGAGCGCCGTGGCGTCAGCCTAGCTCACAGCAACCTCAAACTCCTGGGGTCAAGCAATCTCCTGCCTCAGCCTCCCGAGTAGCTGGGATACAGGCATGCACCACCATGCCGGGTAATTTTTCTATATATTTATTGGCCATTAATTCTTCTATTATAGTAGAGAGAGGTGTCTCGCTCTTGCTCAGGTGGGTTTCGAACTCCTGACCTTTAGCAATCCGCCCCACCTCGGCCTCCCAGAGTGCTAGGATGACAGGCGTGAGCCACTGCGCCCGGCCACTCATTTGTTCTTTACCAAGCTTTTTTTTTGTTTGTTTGTTTTTGTTTTGTTTAGGGGGGCCAAACCACGTGGCTTTATTATACACTCGTGGACGAGGTTCTGGGGCCCCAAGAGCAGGGCCCCGGAAGTCGCCCTTTACCAAGCTTTTGTTCTGCTTGTGCTTCTGAGCAGTTTATTTGACATCTATGAGAGCTTCAAGAGTAAGGATTTCTGTCGTAGATTTATACAGTGCCGAAATAATTAGGCACATTTCTATGAGCTGACTGATTCCCAAATAAATCATAATTTTTTTTTATTTCTAAGAGTTACTTCTTATTAACATGGCTTCTAGCCAGTCAGTTTGATGACATAAACAGACTAATTTCAAACCTGTTTCTCAGGCCACGGGGTTGAGTTCTACCTTGGTTAGAGGTTCCCCGTAGGGAAAATAGTGGTTGGATCTATTAAGCTTCGATGGGTGTTTTGATTTCACAGTCGCTTGCCAACTGTCTGAGTTAATTTCTAATAAGATGGAACATTTTATTTTAATTCAGCTTGGCTCGTCTACAGAGAATTTTCCTTGTATTACTTTTAAGTGTAGTGAATTGGCTCTTGATTGGCATAAAAAGGAAAAGCTTTGATTCTCAATCATATTTTTTCCTATTCTGCTTCTAGAGTTTAGTAAACCTTTTTCTCCGTTTCTTAATGCAGGGGGATGCAACCATAAGAAAGATGCTGAGTTTCTGGTGGCCTTTGGCTCTCATTCTGGCTACCCAGAGAATCAGTAGGCCTATTGTCAACCTCTTCGTCTCCCGGGACCTCGGTGGCAGTTCCGCGGCTACGGAGGTAGGGCACTCGTGGGGACATGAGCACCTGTAATCACCTTGCAGGGTGGAGGGGGGTAGAATTTACTTCTGGGTCATCTTGAGAGCTCAGGTCGTGCCACGAGATTCAGTTACGTGCCACAGTCACGCTCGGAAGCCACGAAGATCTCCTTCAGTGACTTATAGTGATGTAATTTTATATTTTTATGATTATGGAAGAAAACGTCTAATTCATCCTTCTCGTTTACCATATGGGGAACCGAGACACAGAACTAGCTGGAAGCTGGCGAGCGTCAGCGTCCTGGCCTCTGACTCCCACTCAGTTCTCCATTTCCCCGTGGCGTCGGCACGTGGCTCTTCCCCGTAGCTGCGAAGGACGGTGGAACGTGCCCCGTGCAGAGCTGGGAGCCTGTGACTCGACCTGGCCCACCCTCCCCTGTCCCTCGCCCTCCCGCCCGAGCCACCCAGCGTGGTGACTTCCCTGCTCCCCGTCCACCCTCCCCCCACCGATCTCCTCAACCGACTTGCTCACAGCTCGAGAACTGTATCTGGAAACTGGCAGCTACTCCAAAGAGAGAGTTGACTCACTTTTCCCTCTCAAGTTGGGTTTGAACAAACAGAATGACTTCATTTGTCTCCCCCTCCACTTCCCTCTGGAGAACTAATCCTGTCTCTGGAGCCGCCGATCCTAGGCAAGGCGAAAGGCTGCTCATTATTAGGGCTCCTGTTTAGGCGTGGCTTTTGCAGGGAGCAGCCCAGAGCCCTGCGTTGCACTGTCAGCGGGTCCCCAGACGGGAGTGGCCTGCCAGTTTCCATGTCCTGGGAAGCCGCTCACGTTGGCCTGGAAAGAGAAGCCCGTAAATCAAAAGCAGAATGCTTTCTTCCTGCCTCGGTGTGTTCCTGGATTTTGTTTTTTGAATCACAAATGTCATCTTGGGCGGCTACCATAGCAGCTTTTGCGCTTCAACTTTTCAGTTCAAGTGAAATTCAGTTCCCAGTGAAAAGTAGGAGACCCGCATCACCTGGGTGCTAGAATTCCATCTTCCCACGACAAACTGGGGGTTAGGGCCATTCCAGAACTGCCCCCAGTGGCATCTAGGCACAGCCTGTGGGGTACACAGCTGACATTTGTTTGGTCATCTACTATGTGCCAGGCATGTATGTACGTTTCCTTGACTCCCGACAACCCCTGAGATGGGATTAGGATTCCTGTCCCCCTGGAGAAGCAGGAAGGGAGACCCCGAGAGGCTTCCTGCTTCCCACAGCTGGGAAGCCACGAGGTGAAGGTTTGGATCCAGGTCTGCCTGACTTCAGAGCTCTTTTTTTTGTTCCACTAAACTGTGCCACTCCACGCCACAGCTGGGAACTGGCCTCGTGCTCCTGGCACACCTGTGCGTCACCGTCCTGTTAACTAGAATAGATGAAGCCTCTGCCGGCTAGTTAGAGCTGATTGCTGCCGGAACGTGGGTTCAGATGCCTCCTTTTCATTTTTCTTCCTTTTCCTTCACACAAAAACAGCACCTCTCACTCTCACAGAAACCTATGGATATCTTCCTGTATGCAATATTCACTGAATTTTCTTCAGTTAAAAATCTAAGTTGGGCCATCCTGACAGGGCATACGGGGGTGAGCTGCGTTGGAAGCAGAGTCAAACACGTGCGGTGCCGGCCACCCCGAAGGACAGAGAGGTGCTTAGAGGTGGAGCAGAGACCCTCGGGAGAGCAGGCGGGGCCACAGTTCCCTCTGGAGCACCAGGAAGAGGGCTCGGCCAGAGGTTCGGATGGGCTCCACGGAACAACCAAAGATTCTGGAAGCTGGTGGACCTGGTTTGAAATCTTGGCTTCCCAAACCTGGGATCTGAACTTGTTGGATTCGTATAAAACATACACGACATACAAGACATACACACTGTCCTTGTCTCACGTCCCCTCGGTTAGCTCACTCGCCCCCTTCCCAGGGACACAGTGCAGGACCTCAGAGCACGGCCTGTGGCCAGACCTTACCCTCCACACCCTCAGGCCGTCCCGTGGCTGGCCGATGGCTGTCACCCAGGGTGGAGGGATCTGAGACTGCTCACTGTGCCACGTAACACACAGCAGCTCTGGGGGCACGTTCCGCTGATGCCCACGCTAACTCTGCTGACTCTTCTGTTGTAGGCAGTGGCGATTTTGACAGCCACGTACCCCGTGGGTCACATGCCGTATGGCTGGTTGACGGAAATCCGCGCTGTCTATCCTGCTTTTGACAAGGTGAGAGCCCGTGCGGGGCAGTGTCTGAAGCACACTTGTTAAAATGACGTTCGATAGACAGGGCTCTCTGATGACGGACACTTCGTCGTTTCTCGATCTTACCTCCCTTTACGAGGTTCATGTGGTGTCGGGGGTGTCAAAGGTAACTGTGGACTGTTTTCCTTCAGAAAATAACAAGGGCACGTTTAAGCTTGCCTTGATGCTGATCTCATGATGCTTTTCCACGCCCATGTTCCCAGGGTCACTTTTAGGGTTATTCCTACTGAGAAATTGTTTGCAACAGGGAAAACAAGCTCTCAAAAGAACTTTATATATTGGATTTTGTTTCTGTGGTTTGTTTCTCTAAACTAACACTTTACTGACCACATACCACCTGGCTAAGGAACAGACAGTAATCTGTGTGCCTGAGCTCACACCACACGGGTCTCTGCTGCTGTGCTGGTCTACACGGTTGCTCACGCTGTCCATAGCGCAAGACTGGGGTCCGGCATGGTTTTGAGAAGGCAGACCGACTCTGGCAGAAGAATAAGCAACTGTCTGTTGACAGCCACTCTGTCCTCCCCAGCGTGGGAGGCACGTCACCCTCCTGACCTGTGGCCTGGTCATGACTGTGCTGCTGTCATTCAATAAATGTCTATTTCATTATAGCTTTATTATTTAACCCCATAGGCTTGTACTCTGCCACAAATCGCTAGCGAAACATACCCCCAAAATAGTGTGTTATGTTTTTAAATGAAAAATAGGAAAGTGGCAAACAAACTGCCACTTGTACCCTTTATAGCAACCGTTTTGCCTTGAATCCCTACAGAACTGGCTCAGAGCCAGTGCCAACGTCTTTCTGCCCTGCCCCAACAAGCGCCCTGTGGAGAGAGGAGAGGAAACCTCTTGCCCTGCTTTAAACTGTGTGTGGGCTGCAGGGAGGGGACAAGACCTGCGTTGTGGGGACCCGGGAGAGGTCTCTGACTGCCCCCTCCCCCAGCCCCACCTTGCACCCTGACCCGAGAGCATCCCCCGAGCACCTGTGGTGGGGACAAGGTGGAGATGGAGGATCAAGTGTGGAGAGAGATCACCCACTGTCCCTCCGGCGCCTGGTCTGCTTCTGTGATCCCCCGCGGAGTCTCCGTTAGCGCATGCGCGTGCAAACACACACGCACCTGCTCTCATTTCCGCTTCCCGCAGTCTTCTTCCATACAGCCCAGACCCCCAGGCCACCGTCACCTTCCTCTTCTGTTCTGTACCTGCGCTCCCTCATGAAGAGTAACTCACCTTGGCATGCATTAGGGACCCCACCACGTGACCCAGTGGGAGATAGGCCCAGAGCCCTTTGCTAGGCGTGGAGCTTCCTCAGTAGACCATAGCTAGGACCCACCCCCTACTGGAAACACTCAGTCGCAACATCAGGATGCAGACCATAGCCTAAAATATGCTTTTGATCCTGCTTCCCAGGCCTTTGAGAGTGGACTTCAGAAGGCATGAGTCACTCGCTGGAGAGAGCTGACACTCTGTGTTTGAGTGGGTTTAATTCAGTCTCTAGGTAGACATCACTGTTTTCATTTCAAGGAACACATGTATAGAAATGAGTCCTAGAAAAACAACATGGACATAAGCCTGCTTGGTAAATTTCAGTTCTAGCTCCTGGAGCATCAGATGATTATCGAATGAAACTTGATGAGAAGGACAGGTGCTGAAGTGTTAGAACCTCTTGGCTGCCAAAGTCTCATCTGAAATTGTTTTTGGCCACCTCGAAGTAATAAAACTTAACAATACAGCACTGTATGGTTTCAGTAGGAGCATCCAAGAAAAACTTTGTTTTATTCGTGATCACAGAGGTTAGAAGCTTTGAAAAAATGCCTTTAACAAGCATACCTCTAGCCAGAAATTCAAGCTACTCAGACTCCTTTTAAAACCTCACCCATCGCTTCCAGGCACCCCAGCAAGCTACCCCAAGCCGAGTGTGTGAATGCCGCTGTTCACCCGAATCTTAGACACCTCTGTGTGGGCTTCAGAATGTGCTTCATTGACAATTGAAATCCTTTGCCTCTTTGAGGATTTAAAATCGCTCACATGCCTTTGGGAAGTTCTAGCTAAACCTGAACCGAGAGAGGTGTCCACTAGTACAAATTCTCTTTAATGGGCAGTTACCTGCGAAAGAGCATGTTTCTGAGCAGAGTGGGCAAACGACATGAAACACCAGCGCCAATCTAATGAAACATGCTAGTTTATTTTAACCGTCTTTGTGGACACATTTGCTGTTTTGCAAATAGCAGTGCCCTGGAAGGAGCTGTTGCCATCACTGTGGCTGTGTGTGTTCTGGTGAGCTTCCCTAATTCTTTCCAACGTGGGCCTCTTTCTCACCAGCCCCACCAGGGCACCCCTTGCAGACCCCCAGCTGAGTGGAGTTGGAGATTTCCAACGCTGGGGTTTGTATTTTGCTATAGCAGCAGTCTGTTATTCAAAAAAGCAAACATATATTGAGAGGCTAGACTCAAGAAAAAGTACAGTCATTCAGAGGTTGGTGCTCATAGCTTCCACAGATGAAGGGATTGGAGAGGTAAAGGAAAATCAAAAGCTCTTTCCAAGTGGATCCTGTCATAGCTGTGCGGGTCAGTCTTTTGTGAGGGTCAGTCTTTTGTGAGGCTGGATGTGGAACCAGGTATATGGGTTTGTTTTTGTGAGTGGGCTTTGGGACTGACTGGGTCCCTAATGAGGCAGGGGGTATTTTTCTCTGCTGGGTTTTGCAGCAAGGGGCCAGGGGCTCATTTTGATGGGGTGAGGAGTACACTTAGTGGGAAGAGCCTTGGCAAGCCTCAGGTTGCTGCTGTGCAGGAGGACATTGGAGCCACCTGCAGATTTGCTTAAAATTCAATGTAGCAAGTGCTCTTGCAGCACCTTCTCTACCCAAAGACTGTGCTCAGTGCTTCGGGGCTAAAGAGATGGGCAAGATGCACAGCTCAAAGTGCACACGACCTCACCAGGCTTTGAACACGTGGCAGGGCACGATGCCTGCCTCAAGAGAGCTCCAGAGTCATCAGCGTCACAGGAGGTGGGACCCAGAGTCACCTTGGAAGGCAAAAGTCAGAGACGCTTTAGGGAACAGATGGGCTGTAAGGATGATGGGCCCCAAAGAGAAGGGTGTTTTTGAAAATCAGAAGATCCATGAGGAGAAGGGGGAACAAAAGCACAGGTGTGCTAGGGGAAGGGCAGGAGGCCCCATTTGGGATATAGGTGGAGAAGTAAGTAATGCTGGCTGGAAAATGAAGCTGGGTACGACTGGGCAGGGCCTTGAATGCCTAGCGGAATTTATGTCCATTTGGTGGAGCAGAACCCTAGGGACCCCGAGGTTGCTGAGCAGGGCTGTGGCGTTTAGGGAGATGCCCATGGTAGCTGGGCACAGGCCCTGCTGGGGCCGAGAGCAGGCTTCAGAGCCAAGGCCTGGGCTGGGCGAGGCAGGGACTGAGTCAGGCAACACTGCTGGGCGTTGCATCCAGGATTCGCTGTGGCCAGTGTTCATGTACAGGAACCTGACAGCTGTCAGAGACTCATGTGGCAGCCGCCTTGCAAGCTGTCACTTGAAACTTATACTGCAGATGAGTCAAAGAAAACAAAAACGGGATGCTCTATAAGATTTGCGGGGGGGGGGGGGATAGCCAAGGGTCAGCGGGAGCCCAGTCACGACTGTCATTTTTTTTCCCCAGAATAACCCCAGCAATAAACTGGTGAGCACGAGCAACACGGTCACAGCAGCCCACATCAAGAAGTTCACCTTCGTCTGCATGGCCTTATCCCTGACGGTAAGAACAGCATCTGTCTGTCTGTCTGTCTCTGTTTGGGTTTTTGTAAAGGAGGAAATTACCCTTTTAAAGGGAGAAATCTTGCATTCCGAAATGTGCTATCTGCTGGATTGATTAGCAGCCTTCTCCGTGCATGTTCCTGTCCCGATGTGACCAGTGACTGAAGGAGGCCATTGGATCCAGGAGAAAAGGATCTGCTTCTGGCATTTGTTGGGACTTCTTATCTGCTGGAGAAAGGCAGGCTTTGCCTTTAATTTGAATAATACTCTGGTCTTGCTGAATAATTCCCAGCTCATTTTTTTAAACATTCAGAGCCAACTTTGGAACCATCCCTGTCCCTTTTCTAAATGTACTCAGTGTTATTTCCGTTTTCCGGGTAAAACTCCCTTGCAGATACATTTCTGCTGACGTAGCCGATGAGGCCCTCATTCAGCACTTACTTAATGAGCCCTGCTGGATCCCGGGCCCCATCTATCTGGACCCCTCTGGGTGACACCGCGCCATGCACAGGGCCCACTGGTGTCTCTGTGCACAACCTTAAATAAACAAAAAACATTGATGAGGCCAGGTGCGGTGGCGCACACCTGTAATCCCAGCACTTGGGAGAACGAGGTGGAAGGATGAGTTGAGCCGAGGAGTTGGAGACCAGCATAGGCAACATCACGAGACCCCCATCTCTACAAAAAATACAAAAATTAGCCAGGTGTGGTGACACACACCTGTAGTCCCAGCTACTCTGGAGGCTGAGGCAGGAGGATCTCTTGAGCCCAAGAGTTTGAGCTTGCAAACTGTGATGTGATGACGCCACTGCACTCAAGCCTGGGCCACAGAGACCTTGTCTCAAACAAACAAACAAATAAACAAAAATCATGGAGGAAATATGTACATGCTTTATAACCCCAAGGCCATGGGGTATATAACTTAAGGTTATTTAGAACTGTGGTCCCTAACCCCTGGGCCACTCGCCGGAACTGGGCTGCACAGCAGGAGGTGAGCATCTGTAGTTACAGCCGTTCCCCATCACTCACATCAGCACACAAGTTCCGCCTCCTGTGAGATCAGCGGTGGCATTAGATTCTCCTAGGAGCACAAACCCTGCTGTAAACTGCCCATGCGAGGGATCTGGGTTTCACACTCCTTATGAGACTCGAATGCCTGATGGTCTGAGGTGGAGCTGGGGCGGTGATGCTGGCGCTGGGGAGCAGCTGCAGATACAGATCATCATTAGCAGAGAGGTCTGACTGCACAATAAATGTAATGTGCTTAAATCATCCCCAAACCATCCCCCCATCCCAGTCTGTGGAAAACTTGTCTTCCATGAAACCAGTCCCTGGTGCCAAAAAAGGTTGGGGACTGCTGGTTTAGAACATTTATCAATGGTAGCAAAAACCCTGACATTTATAAACAATCACACGTTGCAGACCGTGCCCTGTGGGTTAAAAAGATAGCAATAAGAAGAGGATAAAAAGAAAAAATCGTCTTTTGGACTCAGCTCTGTTGTCCCTGTTTGTTGTGGCAACAATTCCCTTCAAGTCCTGTAGAATGTAGTATTGACTCACACAGCATAGGTGTGCCGCAGAAAGGTCTGCCTGTGTGCAGCTGTCATCATCAGTAACTAATAAAGAGGACATAGGGCCACAGTATTTGGGTTGTGCTGATAACAGAAACATAGGAACTGTGGTTTTTCTTACCATCCGCACAAGAACCACTGGGCTTGACGAGCCCATCCATGGTCCTTTCAAATCAAGCCCTGCACGCGATTTTGAAAGCCTGTACCTTAATATTTTCGAAAGTCTGTAGCTTAATATTCAATCCACCGATCCAACACCTGACTAGACCGTCACAAGGACAACAGAGACAAATAGCCCATCACAGAACAAGTCTGACATCGCTGAGTCATGACCTCGTGTCCTCGGCTGCCCCTGTCGCTGCCAACACAGCCCCTCCCACCAGCTGTCCCCTGTGGAACGTGGGGTGGGTCGGAGACCCCTCCCAGGGCTGCCTTACTGCGGGGGGAGTTTCTGAATTTCTGCTTGAGTCGGCCAGGTCCTCGGGTGGCCCTGCTCCGTGCTGGCTCTGTGTCTCTCTAGGGTGTGTAAGTTTTTCCATAGTTCCCTAAAATATTAGCAAAACACTGAACAACTTTGAAACTGTCTAAAAGAATGTTTTAGGCAGAAACAGTGAAGGTTTCTATTCCAGGAACAAACCTCAGCACTTCGAGATTGTTAAATGACTTGAAGTCCAGAGTTGAGTTGCTTCTGCTGCCCGGCTCTGTGACTTGGATGTCGTCTGCATCCAAAGCGAGGAGCCCTGGCCTGGTGCTGGCTCTGCCACCCAAACTTACCCCTCTCTCTCTTCCTCTACTGTGTCTAAACAGCTGCCCACGGCTAGAGTTGAATCTGATGGGTTTAAAGATATTCTCCCTTTCAGTTCACAGGCAGTAATTTGTACCTTCTAAAAAAAAAAATGATTCTGCAACAAGTTTGTTTTGAAATAATAATTACCCACAATCTGTGAAAATGCTTATATTTCCCAGATAGACATTTATTACTTTATTCTATTCTTTGATCTAAAAACCATCTGTACCTTGAAGTGTCTCGGGCTAAATGTTCACCTTAGACAGAGAGACTCAGAATCCTTTGTTGGAAAGGAACTTGGAGAAGAGCTAGTCAAAACCCATCATTTTTCAGAAGAGGAAGTGACTCAAACAGGACAAGTGACTTGTGCAAATACCTAGTAATAGAACTGCGAGAGCCAAGCCTTCTGGGCTTGTTCTCCAGGGCCCTGCCCTCTGAACTGTGCTCTTCCCAGGGGGACGGGAACAAATCCTGGTGCTTAGGCCAGACCTGGGCACGTGCTGCCATGCCTGAAAACGGTGTTTTCTTCAACGTTAAAAGCCATGGTGTTAAAAGCCACAGCTTAGGCAGCGTCTTACATACGCTGTCCTTACAGCGATTCACTCAGCCGACCCAGCATCGCGGCTAGAGGAAGTATTGGTTAGGGACGTGTGGAGGCTGGGCGAGGTGGCTCACGCCTGCAACCCCGCCACTTCGGGAGGCCGAGGCAGGAGAATCGCTGGGGGCCAGGAGTTTGAGACCAGCCTGGGCAACGTAAAGACACACAGGAAAAACGTAAAGGGAGATTTTTCTAAATCGAACATGAAACTGTCATCATAATGTGCACATGCCTTTTTATATCACTTATATTCACGCGTGTACATGTGTCGCTGTTCTCAGGCTCTGAACGGCACAGGGCAGGGTCCAGTCCGTGTCACCTTTTACCCCCAGGGCTAGCATCTGCCTGACACCAGAGAAAGGGCACAATGACAGGTTAATAAACATAATAAACGTATGAATCACCTAATTCTTAACTGGGGAACAAGGGTCAAGAAGGTTGGCATTTACCTTTGGTGAGTGACAGTGCTCTCATTCATGTCAGTTTATCCTGTTTTATAAAGCTTTTAAGAGGCCTTTTACTTTCGAGTCTATTTTTGTTTTTCAAATTTTAAAACTTCTTCTTCTTTTTTTTTTTTTTTTAAGCAGAGTCTCCCTTTGTTGTCTAGGCTAGAGTGAGTGCCATGGCGTCAGCCTAGCTCACAGCACCTCAAATCCTGGGCTCAAGCACTCTCCTGCTCAGCCTCCAGAGTAGCTGGACTACAGGCATGCACCACCACGCCCGCTAATTTTTTTGTATTATTTTTTAGTTGGCCAATTAATTTCTTTCTATTTTGAGTAGAGACGGGGTCTCACTCTTGCTCAGGCTGGTTTTGAACTCCTGACCTCGAGCAATCCGCCCGCCTTGGCCTCCCAGAGTGCTAGGATCACAGGCGTGAGCCACAGCACCCGGCCTAAAACTTCTTAATGAGAGGAAATTAAGGTAGCTGAGGTCATGGAAACACTCAAGGCAGGACACCTTGAGCTTATTTCAGTGGATGGTTTTAGGTGCGAGGTATGAGCTTCGTGCTGATTCCACGGCTTTCTGTGTGCGGCCTCACGTGAGCTGTGGCGCTTTCCTGTCCCCGGCTTCTTGGGGAGGCCGCCTCTTGTGCCTGGGTCTTCGAGAAGGGCTGAACCCACGGATCCTGCAGACACTTGGTGACTCAGTGGTACTAACTGCTTTTCAAAGGAAAACTTACCCTGTCCAGAACAAAAATTCACTCTTTCCATTGGAATAGGCTCACTCTTCAGGACGTGACATTTTGGGTCCAATATCCACCTTTGCCTATGAAAAATACAGCTGTGTCACTTTTGACGGCTAACAAGAGACTAATATCTCAGCATGCTACAGTGATGCGTGTTTATTTATTCTTTATTGTAGGTTTTTAAATGTAGTGTATCTATCCTACTCCAAAGGTTGGCTCTGCCCTCATATTCTTTTTTTTGAGACAGAGTCTCACTCTGTTGCCCGGACTAGAGTGCCGTGGCGTCATCCTAGCTCACAGCAACCTCAAACTCCAGGGCTCAAGTGATCCTCCTGCCTCAGCCTCCCGAGTAGCTGGGACTACAGGCATGTGCCACCATGCCTGGCTAACATTTTCTATATATGTTTTTAGTTGGCCAATTAATTTCTTTCTATTTTGAGTAGAGACGGGGTCTCACTCTCGCTCAGGCTGGTTTCAAACTCCTGATCTTGAGCGACCCACCCACCTCAGCCTCCCAGAGTGCTAGGATTACAGGCGTGAGCCACTGCGCCTGGCCTGCCCTCATACTCTTATCTGGAAGGTTTTTTTTTTTTGTTTTTTTTTTGGATCATTCAGTTTCAAGAAAAGCAGCAAATGTCTTCTGCCCAGTTTGGAGGAGGAGGTGAATTCAGAGGAGCGTATTTTCCATTTCTATCAGCATCTTGCTGTCAGTCCTCAGAGCGGCTGGGGTGGGGGAGGATGGGTTTGGAACCATGTGATGGAGTGGGGGTGGATGAGGACCAGGGATTCTCTTTAGTCAATCCAAAAGATTAGCTTCAGGACGGTACACCTGTCAGGTGACAACGAATCCCTCAGTAGC